TGAGGTGTGATGTGAACTAAAACTTACCAAAAGCAGGAGACAGAGTTTTAAAAAAAAGAAAGAAATTCTCTCTATATATATCTTCACTGTGTTATCCTACACATGTACATACAGTGGGAATGTATAGTTTTGCATAACAATCCAGGAATTATTATTTTTTTGTGTGTGTTCTTTGAAAAACTACAAAAATATAAACAATAACATAGAGCCTGTTTAAGCATATTGCTGCATTTCTGTTTAATTTCTGCCACACACACTGGATGGCGGGTACCCATGCAATCTAATTTACTCAATCAAAGATGATGATCATACATGTATAGTTACGGCTACACTGTTCCTATAATGGAACTTTGACATCACTTTACAATATTTGTGAAAATCTGCTTGAAAAAAGCTCACGTGGTGAGCTTTGGAGTTGTTGGAGTTTTGTGTGTGTATGTGTGTGTGTGCGTGTGTGTGTGTGTGTGTGTGTGTGTACAGGCTAATGTGAACCAGCAGTAACATTCAAAGGGTATGACGTCATACATCCCTTCTGCCTCTGCCGTCTGCCTAGTTGTTTCTCCTTCGTGTTACCCACATACTGCACTTTCCAGTCAGAATCATATATTCACATGGTGCTGTCCTGTTTTGCAAAACTTATGCCACCAAAACATTCAATGAAAAAAAAAACAATCATCAATTTAAGGTAAGCTTTGTGCTATTAGCAGTGCATTCTACAAAGAAGATTTTGATCTGTGTAATCTCAGTTTCACAGTATAAAACTAGTGTTAGTGCAGCTATTGCCAGTATTGTAACAAACAAACTATAGACACAACAGTCACTATACATGCAAGTCTCAGATAGCAACAGAGCAGATATAGAACTACAACAGTTCAGGTCAACCCTGTCCTCTGCATTTTTCCACATGTCTGTTCAATCCACTCTTCAGCAGCTACTGTATGTCCAGGTATCCAGCATTCTTTGTGTCCACGAGGAGCACTTGACGATATGATGGTGGTGATAAAATGTGCATATCCAGAATTCTTTGGTGAGGGCGATCAGTAGATCATTTATGGTATTTGCATTGGAGTTTAAGAAGTTTATAAATTTAAAAAAAAAAAGCCAATGTCATCATTTGTATTTTTGAAGGCTATGTTACAGTTTATAGGCAGCTGTGGTAAACAGTAAAAGTATAAAATTAGCTGAGATCATGTCTTTATCACTGTGCCACTGACTAATACTAAAACTGAAAATAAAACTTGGGAGGACCATTAATCAGAGAAAGACAACAGGAACTTCCTTTCCTGGACAGATGTTCTGTATGTACTGAACGTCTACTGTGTTCTGAGATCTGAAAGGAGGTGGGGAGTGTTTTATTTTTTGAATTTATGTCCATTGCTGCACAGCCCCCAGTGTCTGCTGGGTCAGCCCAGAGATGGAAGCACAACAAGGCCAAAGAGAACAGAGAGAGGGCTTCTGCTGTGTGCTGCTGATGATCTTTACCCTGTTTTCTCTCTGAGGTGTGGTCCATTTCCTTTACACAGTACAGACAGAAAACCTGTGTGCTGTATGCCATAGATTACAGCAGTTGAGTTCATTCATCCACTGAGACGTCCAGAATAGTGGGAAATGAGAGACATTTACTGTTACATCATAACAGACTGAAGAACATTTATATGTCACAGAGAATGTTTTAAACATACATTTACTGTTAACCATAGAAGGTTATATGTCAGACTATATTTTCAAGCATAAAAGACTGGTAGATGATTTCTGCAATAAACCAAACTGAGACATAGTGTAAAGTATCAAAGTACTGTCCCGTCTACAGAGAGGGAGGGAGGGAAGGAGTAAGAGAGAGACAGGCAGCTAGGCAGAGGTGGACACAGGCCTGACAAGTACATTTACTCAAGTACTGTATTTAAGTCCAATTTTGAGGAGCTCCTACTTGAGTATTTTTAATGTAATTTTCTTTATGCTTCCACCTCACTACAATTTAGATACACTTCATTTATCTGACAGCTAAAGATAGTAACTACTTTTGTGGCTTTCTTTAGTTATTATTTGTGGCTGTGGCTCAGGTGCTGGAGTAGGTTGACCACTAATCCAAAGTTGGTGGTTCAATCCCCTGCTCCTCCACCTGGTGGAGAGTCCTTGGCCAGGTAGTTTTAATGTTGTGGCTACCAAGTAATTTAACCAGAATTTATTGCAAATTAGTCCGTCTTTAAGATAGCTGAGAGCATTACAATACATTTAGATGTCTGGACTAAGGTCTGACGGTTAGATTAAAGCCATCGTTAAAGCCCCTGGATTCTACCTCACTTACCCCCTTTTCATGAATCCAATCTTTAATAAGGTTCATTAAGGAATGAAAACAGGTGTCAGTTATAAAACGAAGTTTGCATTTTTTTTGTATATTTTTTATTATTGTTCTGTTTTCACTAGATATTTTTTTTAAGGATGTTGCAAACTGCAGTCTAACTGTCACGGTTCAGATGATGAACCTAAATGCAACACAGAGACAGTCAGATAAAATCAATCTGAAGTTTACTTCTACAAAGCATCTTTCTACAAAGCAGGCAGACAATCAGAAGGATCTGGCAAAAGGCAAGCTCGAGGGTCAGGAAGTCATCAGAAGTACAGACTAGACAGAGAATGTCTAGACATAGCAACAGCAGTCTGGCATTGTGTGTATGGTGAACAGGTGTACAGAGGATTCTGAAAAATAAAACAAGGAGCAGGTAAGCAGAGGGTGAGGATTTACTGAAACAGACAAGATGACAGAAAGTATAAAATATAGCAAAACGACAAGATCTTGACAAGTTTGTACAAAGTTTTTAACGGATTTACAAATAGTGCAAAAACATTTTCACAGTAGACTGTAGATAACTAGAACTCCTACCAAAGCACTTCCTCTATACGACATTAAGAAACAGTTTTAGTGGTGGTAGAGTGAAAGCATGTTTATGAAAGATGCACTGATTATGTGCTGTTTGTGTCAAAGCAATGAAAAGTGAGCCACAGTGTAGACTACACTGTCTTCTGTCAGGATGATTATGTGAATTTAGAATAAGTCACGTGCCCAACTGCTGTGAAAACAGTTCATAAAAATAGCTACATTTTGTACATAAAACACAGAATCCTGTTTTTATAAAATGTAATTTCTCTGCTGTCAAACCCTGAGATGTTCAACTCTTTTTAGGAAGTGGATATATTTGAACCTCTCTAACCGTGATGGCACAGCTGAGCCACTAGAGGGAGGCACAAGAAAACACATCAACTCATACAGGCTATCAAACACATTTATCAAAAAATAAATAAAAATGCACAAATACATGTATGTTTCCTTTTATTTTATTTTTTTGATGAACTCTTTTTTTCTGACAGTCTGATCAAATATCACTTCACATAATAAGCTAAAATTCTTCGAAGTTTAAATAGAGAAACCCAACAAATCCACAATTTCCTTTAGATTCCCTTTAAGCAAGCGCATGGCGACAGTGGGAAGAAAAATCCATAAGTGACTCTGATGTGAGTGGAAGAATCAACATTAACATGAACAAACTGGAATCTGTCAGATAAATATGATTTAAACCAGTTCTGTATGGTTTATTTAATCCCAATTCCAGTCTTGGAAATGAAATGTGGTGATCAACTGTGTCGAATGCAGCACTGAGATCCAGCAGATCAAGTATAGAAACTAGTCCACAGTCTGAGGTTATATGAAGATCATTGTGTACATTCAACAGGGCTGATTCTTCATTCTTAATCCTGACTGACATTTTTTAAACAAACCATTGCTGATGGTAAAATAATTGGCTTGCAACAACTTTTTCAGATATTTTAGAAACAAGGGTAAGGTTGGTTTTAGATCTATACTTGCCCAGATCAAGAATAGGTTTTTTAAGTAGTGCTTGATTCACATTCCTTAGGTGTCAATCTCAGTCACGTGAGCTTAGGGTTACCTGTTGCATGTTATCACCTACATGTCACACTGATGCACAAGCATGTGCACTCTTCCCAACAATTTATCTGTATCCTATTTATGAAAGTCTTTTCCATAGAGCAGATGTCACTTTAGTCTTTACTCCTGTTGAAACACTTGCAGCTGCTCAGTCTTTTTGGCTGAAACTCTGCCATTTTTTCCCCAGAAATAAACTTGGATCTTTTCCTCTGAACATCTTAAATGTATTCAGAATCCCAGTAAGATCAAGCATTAGATCCATGGAGGCCCTGTCCATACCACAGGACACCTGCAGAGGTCCTGCACGCCATTCCGCTGATGGTTTTAATGTTGTGGCACATCTGTGTGTGAACTTTGTCAAAGCCCATGGCAAAACCTTGTTAAGGCTTGAACCTTACAATCATAAAAACCAGGGGTTTTGTGGCTGTATGTTTCTGTTGTGTCATACAATAGTGTGACCCAGCTCCTCCTGGAATCTACCCTATTTGTTAAGAATGTTGGTTTCCTTAGAGTTTGAAAATAGCCCACATTTAATGTTCCTCCATATCCTACACCACATTCCAAACCCTGTAAAGATCTCACCTCCCATCAGAACCCATCTAAAACAAACTGAGTTCACTCAGAATGGTTCTCTCTTTCCACAGCTTTGACCAAAATCGCCTCAGTTTTGTGTTTACTGTCCAGCAGTTGAGACACCACTCAGTTGGACAGAAAATTAGATTCACACACACATACAGCCAAATGAGGAGTGTGTTTATGTGTAAACTGGAGTTGGTCACAGAGAACCTATTCATTCCCTGCAGCATACAGTGTGTACCCACACACACTGTGGGCACACACACACACACACACACACACACTGACATAGCCTTGTAAAAGACTACAACCAGTGTATGATGCAAAGTAGGTGTGAGGTCAGGCCCAGCTAAGTGCGGTGTGTTTTCCTTTCTGGAGCTGGCTCACAGGAAAGGGGCAGTGATTTTGGGGAGCCATGCCTTACAGACACACTGTTGTGTTCTCCAGACAGAAGGGGAGGAAAAAGAGGGAGGAGAAAGACAGAAAAGGAGAAGAGGTACAGGCACATTACCCCAGATGAATCACAGCAGTTAAGGCATGCTCTGAGTGAGACATCAGTTTTTGACCTGATGCTCTGTCAGAAATCTACTTGTCTGTCTGTGAATCCATCCTTTGGATCTCGTGTTTGCACGTTCAGTAGAAACAGTGGATGCTGGTTGAAACAACATGATCAACTACGGTGAGTAGGACTTCAGCTGGCAATACAGAAGGCTTTTTAGCAGAGATGTCTGTTAGTAAAATCCTAAAATTATCTGAACCATGTGTTTTGTAAGACAGGAATCCAGTTCACATTCATGTGTGGCTGTAGAGGGAACAAGACAGGAAAGAATGAGAAAAAGGTTTATAAGAGTCTATTGTGTAACTAGCAAAATTAGTTGCAGAGCGGGGAAGTTTAAAGATGCCCTTGTTGGCCTGAACTGTTTGTAATTACCTAACAAAATATGTGTGGGGATTCATGGGCCTACTTACACACAGAGGTCCTTTATGAAAACAAGTTATGTAACATTGTGTATGTCCATTCCAAGGCAACCTTTACTATTCACAAATAACCCAGTCCAGCAGTGGATAGGCAACTTTCTTTCTACTGTCCCCACAACGACACATTAACTTAGATACAGCCACATGGCCATACACAGCACGCAGTTGTCATTCTGCACTGGTACAGCCGAGGCCAGACCAGCTGAACCTCCCTTGAGAGTGTGAGATCATTTGCTTTACAAGAATTGCAGCTCAGTTGTGCCCTTTTCAGGCCCAAACTCAGATGTAGTTGATGCGATTGTGCACATTGTGAAAGTGGCGGATTATTCATTTGAAGCTCGACTGAGAGTTTTTCCGTTTAGGTGGCTCTCCTCTGTAGGTCCTGCACTGTCTCACAGACTGGAAAAATCCCCAGTGAGAACTCCAAACAACACACATGTTGTTCAGCTACACAACTACCCCACCCTCTGCTTTCACTCAGTCAGGTCCTGTTGGGCAGGAGTCCCTGCTCTGCGAACGCTACAGGCAAAAATGACACACACCCACCCACATGCACACACAGATGTTGCTTTTCCTATTTTTGTAAGGACCCTAATTGGCTTGATGCATTTCCTAGCCTTTTGTACTAACTGTAAGCATCTCAACTAAGTCAAATCCAAAGTGTTTGTTCTCCTACTCGGCTCTTTTTTCTCTTCCTCCAAGTTTTCACGTTGAACCATGCTGCTGCCCTGTGACATACAAAGTGTGTCACAGAGGAAAGTTGGACCCATTCTGGATTTTTACTGACATAACAGGAGACAGTCATCATCTCTGAGGCTGTGAAAGAAGTTCTTTTTGTGAATCTAGACTTCAAATATGCATACCAACAAACACGCAGCCCACATGGAAGGGCTATAAAGACTGTGTAATTGAAACTTATGTTGTTGTAAACAGTAGCTGTCTCAGTTAGTTGGAACACATAGGTCCTTCAGGAGTCTGGAGTTGAGGTTGAACAAAAGCACAAAACAGAGAAACCACACATAAACCAAAACTATATCTTGAGAGTATAGGTTTGCATATTGTTGGGGACATGTTTCTACTAATATTATGGGAGAAGAGGACTGTCCCTACCAATATTTAAGCAAACTTATTTGTATCATCTTTGGGGTTAAGTCAGATAATTTCGATGTGCCCTAGAGGCCATGTCTGCGTGAGCCTCAATTTAAAAATGCTGCATTTGATTGGATTAAAAGAAAAGGGGCTATCTCTCAGCTTACAACATACTTACCACTAGACAGGGACAAGGTGAGAGCTGATCAGTGGGCTGACAGTTATTAGGAGTGTCAATCTAAACCTCCAGCATGGTTTTCCTGATTTCAATCTCTGAAAATGTGTAAAATGTGAAAACTTTCCTTCAAATTCAACAAAGAACAAAACAACAAAAATACAAAACATGTTATTCTTTTTCTCCTAAGATAGGTAAGCATCTCCAACACAACTTTTTATTACAAACATACAGAATATAGTAAAAGATGGCTTACATTTTCATACTTATTCCATCAGTTTGAAGAACTGGCTATGAATGAAGTAGCTCAAAAATGTACCTTAGACTGCAATGCTTTTTAAAATTTATTTTATTTTTTTTACCCATGGGCATCTTCTTCGAATTGACTTTAGACACGAAAGGTGTGCCACTCATTCCACCTGGAAAGGTCCCCCCCCCCAAAAAAATTAAGGACTACAACAGGTCAATAGCAAATTAAAGGCCGTTGCTATCGTGCTGCAGTTCTGATTGAGGTTTACCAAAGTACTTATTTCATTTATATTTATCTAGAGCTCAAAATGAAGGAGACACTTCAATAGTTGATGCAGAGACACAAGCTAAAATTGATCTCCTGCCTACTGCTGTAATTGTTCTACTGTACTAACATACATCCTGCTGGAGAGTGTTCTGTAAAGGCCTATAGACAGAAGAGAAAGGGAGAAATTGAGTCTAGTGGGCTTATAGGCCTCCCACAGAGACATCCGTGTCTTCCTGTCTATCTGGCCAACACAATAGCAGGCTAATGCTCGGTAATTGCTAACACGTCCAGGATCAGAGACAGTGATTCACCAGAAAAGAAACCCTTTCTTCCATATTCATTCAGTGGAACCTCTGAGTTATGACTGAGTAATGTTTTCCCTTTTTGGCCATTCAGTATTTATCAGTTTAAATATATTTTTGCATATTTCATTATTTCTTTTTGTCCTTGATTTTGTGTCTTTTTGTTTTTAATTCTGTGTTCTTTTACATCAAAAACCTGTTACATAGTATGATAAGAATTCTACAAGTAATTGTTTACTTAAATAAATATACATACTTATTTTGGTGTTTTAGTGAGGCTTCAGCTCCCTGCTCCGTGGTCAGCACATTATAGAAGGAATTTGCAGTTTGAAGAGCTCTGTTATATTCCACCTGTATGCTGTAATATTCACAGCACAGAGAGCCATTTGTCAGAATATGGGCCTCACCATCCCTGCAGAGCAGCAACAGCCAGCTGCACTGAGTACTCAGGTTTAAAGCGACATGCAAACCCAAGCGTATTAACCAAGTTCTAACCAAACATATCCAGTTTTCAATGCATAGTGTGTGTCCCAAACACTGCATGCCTATTGTTGCTATGTCCATGAGAGAATGTCAGTTTCATTTGTCATTTGTCTGAGTATGCCACCTTTATCTGTAGGCACTGTTTCAAAGATGATCAATTGGTACCTTGTTTAAATATGTTGATAAAGTTTGTAATGCCTATTTATTGTCTTAACCGGGGTCCATTGGGTAGTCTGGAATGTCTCCATACCCAGTCTGTGCTCCAAGACTGTACAATGTGACACAGTAACTTTCTCAAACAACAAAAATATCATGCTGTCCGGTCCCGTAATTAGGCTTGTTTAGCTTAGCTTAGCTTAGCTTAGCATAGCTTACCACAATGACTGGAAGCAGAGAAAAACTATGCAAACCTTTGAAGGTTCTAGCTTTTTTTTTTTTTTGAAAGGCTCCTATACCTAATCACCGCCAAGTAAAAGTACAGCAATCAGAAAGAGTTCAGCGAATTAGCACTTAGTTAGTGTAAAGAGAGTCCAACCAAAAGTGGGCAAATTCTGATGCAATTGAAACATCAGCATCATATTCAGCTGGAAATCAGAAGCCAGTAGGACTGTGAGGGGACTGGGAGAAAAGGTAGCAAACTAATGACATTAGACCAAAGGCCTCATGGGATTCAGTTAAAGAGCTTCTGCACATTGTTTACTAAGTGTTCAAAGCAAACTTGAAAGGCCATCTACATTAGTATGTATAATGCATTCCAGGGTCATCCAATGTGCTCTCTGGAGTGTGAAATGTGTACAGAGCATCATTCACTCCAATCTATTAATGGGAACAGTGGGCTACGGCTAACATTGTTATCTGTTCTCATATGGTTTAGATGGCGTACATGAAAAACATGAATTAAGCTTGGAGCTCTACTACCTAATTAATTGTTGTTTTTGTGTTTCCTGTTCTGTACACTTCAGAAATGTCAGACTTTAGCGTGTGTGTACATTATCTAAGTGATCTTCTCAACAGCCCTCTGATTAAGCAGCTGTCATGAGGACTGAAGATTTTTTTTCTCTTTTTTTTCCAAAGGAAGGAAAGAAAAGCGCTTTTATCTTCACTAGCCTCCACAATTGCCTCAGCAGTTTCTCAGAACACTCACACACAGAGGCAGTCAGACTGTCCTAACTGAATTTTCTAATTGCCCTCTAGAGCGTCCCTGTCCATTAGGCTTCGGGCCGGCTGGGAGGAGTGTGTTGGCTACTGAGCTCCCAGCGTACACACATGCACACACACTGATGGCCATGCCTCAGAGATACTCCCACCAGAGGAGGAAAGCCAACACAGCGGCTGCTCGGAGGATGGAGAGGAGACGCAGGGACCAGTGGAAGAGCAGCAACAACAACACCCCAAGCAGCAGCCACAACCACCGCTCCAAGAAGCTGGTCATGCTCTCCAGGTACCGGTGCTACTCAAACGCTTACAACTAGGGCAACACAAGAAATGAAACACACATGAAGTTGAGTTACTCACTTTGTTATTGGCAGAAATAGCATGTAACCTTCATTACAGGGCAATGTAAATATTTATGATGTATTTAATCATCTACATTATGGTACAATATTAGAGAAGTTGGAGTTACTTTTTCCACATCGGTCCTGCTACACAGCATATACAGCTTTCATGCTTGCATCATTAAGGTCTTGCTTAATTGCTATTAATGCCATTTAATGACTGTAATTGACCTTCTGACTTCTACTGACTGTCCAGGTCCCTGATTCTGTGTCACTCTAAGACTAATGATGACTGTCCTGAGGACAGATATGCTGAGGAAGCATCAGATGGGTGCAGGACATGGAGTCCAAGCTGGAGGACAAAAATGATTGCTGTGGATCATACAGGATATAGGGAAACACAAAACAGACAATGGAGGATGACCCAGCAGTCAGCTGTGGAGACAAGAGAAGGCAGTGAGGCAGATAGCCAGCTTCAAAGCACAATTGTCAGGGGCAATAAAAGGAGCATAAGGAAGTCCTTCAGCATCAAGGTAAGACTGCAGGAGCTTCTTTTAGGGGATATTTTGTATACACATTATTGTAAGCATATACATAGACTGAGTGAAAGCTTTCTCTCCTTCCTCTACTTCAAACTGATTTCTTTCTTCCCTCAGTTGACTGGTATTGTTTAGCCATGTTAGCAGCATGACTGCGGGGATGGTGGTGGTGATCAGTCCACCACTGTGGTGCAAAATTTAATAATTTAACCTTTTTTGCTTCACTCAAATCATAATTTTGTATAACAACAAATGAATGACCAGATTCAATGTACTTTCCTCTTGCTATCGGGGCAAAGACATTTATGTTAGTCGCTTCCTCACTGTTTACCTTCCTCTGGAGCACAAGTAGACAAGCTGACATGAGGCCATTGAAATCTACTATACTGTAACTGTGTAGCTTGGACGTGGTAGTGGTACATCCACAGTCCTCTGAACATAGTCTGTCACATCATATTGGCAGTATCTAACTTAGATTCCAAATTGTAAGTATTCTTTCATGTCAACATTCAAGTTGCCATTATGCCTGGGAAATACCAACTTCTCTGAAAGGTCCAACATTATCCCACCTACAGCCTCATACTATGTATATGTAACATGTGTGCCTCACGTTAGCCAAGGTCCAACGTTCAACATGATTAAACCCAAATTTAATGGATATGATATTATTTCGTAAATGCATAACCATGATGCAGGAAATTCCATCTATGGGTAGAACAACTTTTGTTTGGCAAAATGATAGTCTTCTTTTGACTGTTAAAAATACAAAAACAAAAACATAACAATTCTGGTAGTTTTGGTTAGGACAGTCTTATAATGACTGACAGTTCTTAGTCACTGCAAAGACACACTTCTTTTTATTTATTACTTAGAACAACTTTGAGATGAATGTGTTCAAAGACGTTATTCTAGACGCAGCAATGAATTTAATTAGGGTTTGACCATGAAGTGCAAGGATTTAATTTTTGTATTTCTTTGAAATAACAAACCTAAACTGTTGAAGGAATGTATCATAATTACAAAGCTTCCAGTGTTTTATGAATGTTTTAGGGCATAGCCAGACATTCGTATGCATTCCTGTATTCATTTCATATTAAAAACATTTTCAAGACATATTTCAGCAGACATTCTTTGTGCAGTTTTCCAGGAAAGAGTAATTCATTCCTGTCTGATTAGTGACACATCCTCTATTCAACATATTGTTCTCCCCATGCCATTATGTACCAAAAAATAAACTCCTTTATTCAGAGATTATCAAAATGTAGAAATTAGTGTTTGTTTATGGGATGCCCCACCATTCACAAGGTATCCACTCGCTAACAGCGTGCTATGTACACTGGAAATGTTTTTTGTCAAAATGAAATGATCATCACATGCCCTGCGTTGGTGTGTTGGTGGATTAAGAGCTGTGGCTGGCCTGAATGTCAAACATTCAGACAAAGACAGGGCTTGTTATGCTGTGCTGTTTCCACAGCTCAGCCACGTATAAGTAGAGTTAGACTGTCTGTTACTCATCACTCATTTTATATAAATGAGTAATAATACTGTAGAGAAGTTTAAAACTACCGACGTATGTGGTTGTGCCCACAGGTTAAACAGATGCAGGTTTTCTGATATCTTATTTGTCATCAATATTAGATACTAAATATACACACTTTACATGTTATGTATTTACTTTACATGCTATGTACTTACTTTACATATAGACTTTACATGCTAGTATGTAGCTTGTGCTAATCGACACAAATCACTTGAAGCTGTTGAGAATGCCATTTATTGAAATGTATCCAATGATAGTGTTGGATAAAATGTCAGAGGATTATCTGAGAGGAGCATAAATGTCTAGACTAAAGTTTGTGATAATTAATCAAATACTGGTTAAAATAGTTGAAAACATTGCCATTTCGCCATCCGTCTGTGCAAAATCAGACGTTTCTGAGAGAAGCTACTCTTTCTATAATATTGTATCATCGTAAATAATCAACTTGTCGAACTGTCAACCTTACAACTGGTGGACAATCCACTCCACCACCGAGCCACAGCTCCCCACTGCACCGTTTTATTGACTCAAGCCCAGGCTGCCAAATAACTCTGATGTAAATTTAACTCAACAGTAATTTAATGGACACGTGTTTGCCCTCTGGGACTAATTCATGCCAGGGTGAATGTTGATCATTCTTAATCACCTATCAGGCGGAAACAATATCATAGCCGTATCCTTTTGGCTGAAGCTGAGACTAAGTCCTGATAGTCGAGTAAAGGAGTACGGTCTGTGTCACACTTTGCAGCTCCTTGTTCAAACTGAACAGTCACCTATTTGGCTAAGTGAGGCACTGACAGTGTGGTCAATAATAATGTTGTTTTTACTTTAATTTGTAAATTCATTCATTCATTAAGTAATTTATTCATTTGTTACCCTGTAGGCTATATTTAAAGATTTGTATCATCACAACAGAACAAATATGAATAAAATAATGAATTAAAGTAAACATTATTTCTTACATATTTTGATTATTGGTATGGTATTTTATTATTGCCTACCATACAGTGTAGCTGGGCACAGACAGTCCAACAAAAGTCCAACAACAAGCGCAAAACACAAAAGTTGAAAGTTTGAGGAAATTGTATGTATTTAAACAAACCACTTATGAAGGAAGTTATGTAAATAAAATGAATTAAGCCACACGGTCATAAAAAGGTGAGTTCAAGAACATAATATCCAGACTAATGCATTATTCATACTGACCAGTTGCTGGATTTCTTTATTTCACATGTAGCCGTTGTTATGATGAGATGATGAAAACAGTTTTTAACATTTAACTTGCCCAACATGCCCATTTAGAGACAACACCATTCTCTGGGTATTATATCTTAGGGATCATATCATAACCTGAACAAGAAAGCCATTGAAAGATGTATGACGTTGCCTGATCAGCTTAACCTCTAGAAACAATGCTCCAGCTCATACAACAATAAAACCTCACTGCTGTTTTCTTTTTTCTTGGTTGTCACCTCGATCACTCACTTTATTATAAGCTCATGAAGTTTGATTTGTACCTCCTAGTATAGAGGTCCCTTTATACTTGCTTACCATGTGCATACCTTTATATGTATGTATATAGGAGAGCAGCATCTGGAAGATGTGTGTAGCCACAGGGCCTGCTGAGGAGGTGTGTAGTCCACAAATGGCTGACAACAGCATTCAGACGGACGGCCAGATCACTAATGTGGAGCCAGGGAGGAATCGAGGCAACCTGCACAGGTAATAAAACATACTATCACAACTCCAAGTGCTTTATTTCCTGTAATGTCTTTGAAAAAGTGGCCCAAACTTTGACACTAGACTGAATAGATTATTAGTTGGAGATACACAGAATTAGCAGGTGGAGCGTAGGGATGCTTCAAGTGTTTAATCATCCATCCATTATCTATACACCACTTAGTCCTCACTAGGGTCGTGAGGGGGCTGGAGTCTATCCCAGCTGACTTAGGGTGAAGGCAGGGGACACCCTGGACAGGTCGTCAGTCTATCACAGGACTACACTTAGAGACAGACAACCAAGCACACTCACATTCACACCTACGGACAATTTAGAATCACCAATTAACCTCAACGTGTTTTTGGACTGTGGGAGGAAGCCGGAGAACCCAGAAAGAACCCACGCTGCACAGGAAGAACATACAAACTCCACACAGAAAGATTCCGGGCTTCCTAAGCGGGACACGAACTAGGGATCTTCTCGCTGTGATGCAACGGTGCTAACCACCGAGCCACCTTGCAGCCCAAGCAGCAACCTACCACAGTGGAAGTTTCACATGTTCCAGAAGATTTGGAATGTGCTATAAGGCAGTGATGCGTGTTTTTTCCCCAGTGAATTGCTTATTTTAGTGACAGTGCTCACCTCCCTGCATGCAAAAGATTTCACCGAAACAAATACCTCATCACTATTTTGCACAGGCATCATTGCTGCATCTTGGGCTGTTTCCTTATTGCAGAATGATAATGAAGTGCTGTCAGAAAATCCATAAGTGCAGATACAGCTGTGAAGATATGTCTGAGATTTCTTTTTCCATGTTCTGAATACCTATGATTGATTGGGGGTGAGCTTTACGTGCAGCTGTTGTGAGTAATGAAGTTTAACTTTCTAGTCACTTCTTGCTATTAGGCACAGGCAGAGTTAAAGTTGGTTATGCAGTTCAGCAGTATAGCTTTGATTCCCCAGCTTTACTCTTGAACCATTTATCTTAAAAAGGACAGGTACTCATGTAAAACAAATACATTCATCTACTAGTCTTACAATAGCTCTGAGGTGCAGATAGCATTTGGCTGATGTATTGGTTAGCTGATTGTCATCAGTGCTATAGAAAGAATAAGAGGTTAGAAAATACATCAAGACAGAGACCACAGAACATCACAATACTCATTAAATATTCCTCAACAACAAGTTCATGCTCATGGAGTCAACTGTGATACATGTATAATCTATAAATGCTTTCTAGTCGACCTACAAAATCGAATGAAAGGAAAATTGAAAAAAAAAAAAGAATTTACAAATTGCTGTGTTTAATCAAAAACTGGCCATGAACTGATATGAACTGCTTTTACTTTGAAAAGTTCACATTTGTTCAGAAGAAAAAAGGAGTATTCTCAATATACATTCATCCTGTTGCATGATGTAGCCAGCTGTGGTGGTATAGCTTTCAAAACATTTAAAGATGTAATTATACAGCCTAGAGGGGGATGTTCGGTTGTGCATAAATGTCAAAAACTGTAATGGGCAAGCCCAGTGACCAACACTGACAGTGAGCTTGTGTCAAAAACACACATGAAATAAAGACAAGTCTGAAACTGTAGAAAGAAAAAGTCTTGAGTCCTGATGTTTTACTTAATTCCTGCAACCTGTTTCCACTATGCTAAAGTTAAGGTTGCCCAGTGGAGCTTTGTTGTACACAGATGAACTGGTGGCCATGTTTATTTTCAGGGTTACCCACAAACACATTTTTTAGGTCTAAAAAATTTGTGAAAACCAAGTTTTTCTTCATAACATATCGTAGTCTGATGTAGTGTGGATAGATGTAGATGGGGGCTGATTGTTAATGTTATTTTTTTTAAATTTTATTTTTTAATCACCTTCACTATGAAAAACAACTATTGCCACTCCAGGCACCAAGCAACACTGAAAAGGTTAGCTTTTGACAAAAGTCTGGCTCGTGCAAAAAAGCAGCCCTGCTTGTTTGTTTTTGTTCTTTGGTGAATTAGCCATCTTAACGGCAGTGCTCAGCTCCCTGTGTACAAATGTTTCACAACAATTTTTACTGAACATTGTTGCAACGTTCTGTGCTTAGCCCCACCCAAGACAATGTTTGGGCTTTGATTACACCTTGAGCAGAATATTAATTAGGTGCAGTTAGACTATTCTACACAACTGTGTCAGGGCTAAAAAATGGTCTGACTGTGTGAAACTAATCGTATTGTAAAATGTTTTCTTTCTTTTTTTTTTAAAAACTGCATATTATATTGCCCCTGCTTTACATCTGTGTTTACAAGAAAGCAGTCCTCTTCTTTATTGCAGTTGTTAGTGTCTTGTTGACATCATTTCTTTGTGCGTTACCAAAACAAGCTGTCAGTCAGTGAATGAACATGGCAGCTTGTGAAAGCATGTGTGTCTTTGTGAACATATGCAATAGAAACAAAACAGACCTTCTCACAAAACCATTGCTCCACAATTTTACTAGTATTCAAAAGTTCTATAGGGACCTTTAATCTGCTAAATCAGTAAAAAGACCTTCAGTGGCTTTTTAGTGATTCCCTCACCAATTTGTGTAAATGTCAGTGTAATAAATGATATTTGAATTATATTTTGGGCATGAAGTGGGACTTCTATTTGATTGAGTCATCCACTGCAATTTTGTACTTGAAGACTTGTAGACCTGCTTGGTTTTTCAGCTGTTTGTGTGCATTTCCTCCTCAGACGCAGCAGCTTCCTGAGCCCAGACAAGCTAGCACCCTTTAATGGACAGTTTCTAAACAGCAATGCTTTCATGGACGGGGAGGGAGTGAGGAGTGTCCACATTAAAGCCTATAATGAGGTAACAGCACTCAATACATTAAACAATCTATAGTGTTTATTCCTCTTTCCCATCATTTTTAGGAACACACGGTACTACTGCCTTCAGTCCAATAAATCAGAAGTAGCAGTTTCTCTGCTTTTATATGTGTGTAATTGATATAGTTATTGATTTATAGCTTCTACAATAAGAATTCATTCATTCATACAGCACTTTCTTCACATATAACTGATCTGCTGATGCATGGGCTATACATTGCTTAATGGATCTCTACAGTCTCCTAGCCTTCACCTAATATTGCTGTGGGTAGTAAAAAGGACAAAGTAGTTTGAATTTATATACATTAATCAATAAATTCAAAATACATTTCTATATTTGCAGATGAATGCCTTACATTGCTAGAGAGGGCATCTAGAGACTGTCAATCAGCTGAAATTTGCTCTAACTATTTCAGAGTAGGCCCGGCATTGTTTTCAAGACACAATCACATTCCCTGTCTTCCCACACAACAAGACTGCATGGAGTCCAGAAATGGTAACCACGCACAAAGGGATTTGAAGAATTTGAAGTTGGTCAACAAAAAATGTGTCATGTAAAAAGAGAAAAAAAAAAATCTTGTTTTAATAATTTCAAGGCTGCATGGCACTCGTGGAATTTCTCTTTCCAGATGGAGATGGGAGTTATATATTCTGCCATCACAGACGAAGCAGGAGCAGTTTGCTCATCTCTCCAACTAGTCATGGAAAGTCAAGGAAATGTTAAGACATTTTTACATCAGGTCCACTGTGAAGTGTTATAACATCTACAAATATAAAAATGATCAAATCATTGTTTTCATTGTATTTGGAGTGTATTACTATTACATAAGAAATTGCATCAACTAGAATGAACAGCAGTGGTATAATATGTCGCTGTGGAACAGAGGTGTCCTGAGCCCAGCATGGGGAATTTCAATATTCCCAAGTAGCCACAGATGCCCGAGTTATTTCCCTCAGATTGTAGTATTTTAGTTGCTATGGAAGCTTCCCTTCTGGCCAATGTGACACTTTATCATCCTGCCAAGTCTATCTGAGTCACTTTTAAGAGACTGTGGAAACCTGAAGAACAAAACGAAGGAGAAATGGAAAAAAGAGCAGTAGGAAAGAATGTCTAACATGTGATGACTTGGCTCAGCTGATTCTGTCTTTAACACTGTGACTCTGTTTTTTTACTCTATAATGACTCTCTTCAGAAATGAAATGGCTCCTTTCACGTGGTTCTAAAGAGTGGTTCATAATAATACAGAGGACATACACACTCAATAATGTCAATTACACAGCAACATCTACAGTATATTAGGTAAGGAAGCTTTAAACAGATGTTTAGAAAACCTGATCTGTTGAACCTGTTTCAAAGGTTACATAATTTCTATTAAAAACAGATAATGAGTTATTTAAATCTGATACACTTTCCGTATATTCATGATGATATGTTGCTATAATATACAACACTATTATTATATACTGTTGTATATTATATATACACAACAGTATATAACACATAACACTGAATTATACCTCACTCTTCTACCTGTAATGTTTTATTACTCTATACTCTCTACGTGCCTTTACACTATTTGACCACCTCTATTCTGATACAATATACTATAATACACCGATTTATTGTACTATACTACACTACACTTCACTACACTACACTACACTACACTACACTACACTACACTACACTACACTATACTATACTATACTATACTATACTATAGGGAGGGTCATATAAACCAGTATATGAGGAAAGACTGAAGTGAACTTTCCATCACTGGTGTGCAGTTGTATGTCCACCCCAACCACTAACAGGCTCGTATTGGTGTTCAGCTGAAATGTTTCTCTTTGCTGATGTGTTGCTGACTTTAGGAAATACCCACATGTGAGGACACTCTCCATTCCCATACTCCAGCACAGCATCCGGCTCTCATTTCTCCACCTGACCTGCAAGCATTTCCTGGATACACAGATGAAAAACTTCTGGCCAACAACAATCACCTCAAGGTAAACCAATCTTTGGACAAAAATGTGGTCTGTCCCACTATTAATTTTACAATTTTTACTCTTTAATTTTATGTCAGTTGACACAACATTTTTTGATTTTATAAAATGGTATAAAGTCTGACTCACCGGATACAGGATACAGGTGTAAGCCACCAATCATTTTACTTGCCGTTGTCCTACCTTACTATCAGTGTGTTGCCATTTTGAGCAGCCACCCACTTTGCTGAAGATTTGGATTGTGCAGTAGGGCAGCCATGCTTCATTTTCACACTGAATTATCAATGTTAATAAAAGTGCTCGCCTCCCTGCAAGGCTGGCAAAGTGAGACTCGAGTAGGGTTAGTTTTAGAAAAGTACTATTGGCTATGGTTAGGGAAGCGTATGTCTGCAAGACGAATGTAGCTTAATGTACTCTGAAGTGATGGAATCATGACTTAGTGTTTGTGTGTGTTTGTGTGTGTGCAGTTACCCATCCCAGAAGTGAATGAAGAGAGATGCTGGGAGACCAAGAAAACAGAGCAAAGCTCACCAGAACAGATGGCCAGCAATAGGACACGCTCCAATTCAACCAGTGTGTATCATACAATTTTTACTCAAAAGTCTAAATACACTGCATTTTACTCTGTATGTAAGTGGGAATGATTTAGGTAAACCTGGTCCTAATTGCTTGGTTACTCAGTTTTATCAGATGGCCAACTGGGGTTGTTTTACAGGGTTTGGGAAACTTACAGATATCTTAGTTTCAGTAACAAATATTAAAACAATCTTAAATGTACATCTAAACTCCCCAAAAGATACGAGGTGGCCCTGGTTAAAGAGAGCTGCTACCATCGACTGTCCTGCAGTGACTCCAGTCGGGGCATATTCAACCCCAGTGGGGTCTCTTGGGTGAGAGTGTTTGATGTTGTGAGACCTGAAACACCTGATGAGCCCAGTTCACATTAACACTGATGTGTTTCAGTACATCCAGAGGGTGTTTCCTGAATACAAATAAAAGAATGGAGACATTCAAACAACTTGCTCATTAAGTTAAATGTCTTCATAACTGGGTGCAGAAATGTTAACCAATACAATAGAAACATGAGACAATATACCCCAGACGAGTAAGTATCTAGCATGTTTTTTTTTTGAGATGTGAGTTTGGAAGCTGAATACTGAATTGATCTACTTTTTACTTCTACATGAGCATTTTATTTAGCAAAGAGTCAAAGCATGACTGGCACTGGTGACTTAGATGGAATTTTTAACATTGTATTATAATGAGTTGCACCCTCGTCCCCTGACAACCACACCAGAAGTTCAGGCCACTGTTTTCTTTGAACAGGTCACACTTTTAGGTAAAGCGTTGACAGATGATGAAAGGAGACACAGTGTAATTACATTTTTTTTTTCTGTGTTTACTGTCTACAGAGATGTGTTAGGCTAAGGAATATTATCTTCTTTGTGCCTCACTGCTTGTGTAAAATGTGGTCTTAATTTGCTAGAAACGGTGTGCTTACAGTTCTACGGTTTTGGGCTGGAGTAAACAGATTGCAGATGGTACTTTATATTTGTAATGATTAAGACCTACAAGCACAGAGATCAGAAACATGGAAGGTCCTGTACATTGTGATCCATTCATATGACCCTCCTATTTTTTATGGGCCATAATTAGAAATTGGATTCTAGGGATGTCAATGTTGGGGGATCTGTTGTCTGGTTCTTCAGTAGGTCCAACACTTTAATCCAGATTGAATTTTATTGATAGTTATGGTCTAAACACAGTGAATCTGACTACTTTAGCCCACACATCAGCTGAGAAATCAACACACTACATTGTTGTATACAAACAACATATCCCTACTCTACATACATACATACTGTCAGGGATCAGTCAACTGTGTGCATTTCCTCCTTTTCCATTATGCTTTGCATGATGAAAGAAACCACATCCTGAAAAAGTGTAAAGTATTTTGTCAGCTTTTCAGTTTGAAACTAGTGACTTAAATTTGATAATGAATTTGCAAAATGTGTAAATTAGGGTGCTGTTGCTTCTTTTATTTGTGTTAAAATTTAGGGTGTTTCTAATACATTTACCTCTCTGTGTGTAAATAAGGTTGCCATATTGTGTGATTTGAAATTAAATACATTATTCTTAAAAATGGAAAGACAAATCTAATTAAAAAAAAAAAAAACAACTAATATAAAAATGCAGAGCTGTATAACTGAGTCGGCACAATTCTAATTCTAGTCATTTTTACATTAACTAAACACTTTATCTGGTAAATATTCCATTGCGACACTACACTTAGTAGATAGTGCACCAGTTTCAGGTTTATTGAACTTGGTTTCAGAGGTTGAACTGCCCCACGATGAGGGAAATGTTGGTTCTGATTCTGGTCCTTTTCTCCCTAAGAAGTCTGACGTAAATTAATTTCAACCTGATGTTCATTTTTTGATTGTACTGCATTCATAACCAGGTGTTCATCCTTATTGGATTGGAGATCTGGACAGCATCATTATGAAGAGCCCAGAGCTGTATACCAACCATCCTCATGGTGGTTTGTATGGAAACAGGAAGTCTCTGTCCCAGCAGCTGGAGTTCTCTCACACCACTACGCAGGTATTGGATTTATCTGACGCTATAAAGTAAATATGTTAAAGGTTGCACCAGGTGACCATACCTGTACAATATTGTGGGAAAATTGTGAGGATAACACAAAGTCACAAAATCATTTATTCCCCTGTGGTCTGTCTACAGTGATTCTACAAAAAATAAAGAAGACATCAAGCCTCAAATAAAGGCAGATACATTAAATCAATATACAAAATAAAAAATTAATATACATTTTATATATAGTTCAATTCTAGTCTGGTTGTCTACATCTATATTTTATAAGTAAAGGCTAATATATTCTGTGTTGGATATCTACTCTATCGATCATCGCCAAACTATTTTTGACACATCTTTTGGCTCAACTGTAAGTGTTGTAAGTAATCAGAAAAGTGTAACAGACTTAATCACACAGAACTTGGTATTTAAACCAAGGCTAGAATACCAACTTGGGAAAGTAACCAACTGCCCCAAAAGCCCAAGGACTCAAAAGCCTCTGGTTTAATGTCCAGGTTTGTGCTGACTGGCATTTTTCTAAGCATGGCCTGTACAATCAGACATGTCTTGAGGAGAGTTTTTGTGTAAAAATCAAGTGTTACAACATTCATTGACTTTATGTTATGACTTATTTGTCTCTTGTTTTTGAGCAGATTTGTTTTTTTTAAACAAATTGCTTAACAGTACATCTGGTGCCACATTGCAATACTACACAGTAAGACACTTTGCACAGAGTGTATTTTTCCCCCCTTTTGGCTAGCTAGCAAATTAAACCAGCCACAGTTACAGTAAAACACAACAACAACAACAACAACAACAACAACAGCAACAACAATTCAGGAATCACTCCGATCAGAGAGTGCTGATTAAAGAGGACAGAACAGACAGCAGTCTGGATGTTCTCCAAATCACCAAGAAAGAGCTGATTTTCACTGACCGACCAGCAGCTTTGGTAAAACACAAAGAAAAACATATTATACAGTTCAGTGAGGACGATTATGACATAGCTATTTGCCAGAAAGAGCATTTTCTTTTGCCAAAACAAAAGTTGCTTATAAGCGCACATTATTTATACTAGTAACCAAAAATGTGTGAAAGAAAAAACAGGAAAAAAAACAGGATGAAGCCAACAATTTTTTTAAAGTAACAGATGTTTAAAAAACACCAAGCAGTGCTATTTAATATTCCTGCCAGTAATTTGATCATGTCAGCGAAAAAAGCTTAGTACTTACCAGTATTAGGAGGAAAGTGAATGAAATTGTGACGTAACTCTCTATCGAATGTGTTGCATGCTGCTCCTCTCCAGACTGTCCACCGTCCCTCCCGCTCCCTCAGCTCAGCCCAGCTGGTCCACTCCTGCAGCAATGTGCAAGCCTTCATAATCTGTAATATTGTGCTGATGAAGGGCCATGGCAAGGTAGGAACCGTGCTCCACCACCACCAGAACAACTGCTTTAAGTTTCTAGCATCAAAGGTTTTCTACACCAGCTGCTTTTTAGTCACTGCTGATATTACCATCTCAGCAGACCATAATAACTGTTGGAGAGTGTAACCATCACTATTAACCAAATGTAAACCTTTACTGCCTGCTATAGGTTTAATAACTTTGGGGTTCTAAATATTGCATCCATTTCCTGCCTGTTTTATAAAAATAACCTTGAGGCAACAATTCACTTGCTAACTTTTTCTATATATTTCAGCTGCATCCCAAGACTGCTGTGAACAGCAATATCTCTGTCTTGCTTAATGTATCTTATTTATTGAAATAGCATAATTGTGTTTTCCTCTGCTGCTGTTCCAGGGACTTGGCTTCAGTATAGTGGGAGGCAGGGACAGCTTGTATGGACCGATGGGGATCTATGTCAAGACTATTTTCCCAGCAGGAGCGGCAGCCGCTGATGGAAGGCTACAGGAGGGTGAGAAAAAACACACTGTAAAAGAAGCTCACAACCACTCATTTGCATATTTAGATGGAAAACGTGGGGGGTCAGAAACAACAAACCAGAAAATTACACCAATCGACAATCTGACACAATGCTCTATTTCATATTTTGTCACACAGGTGAGGACCCCACTGAGCCCACACCTGTTGACTGTTGAAATGACTCATGTTGTGAACTGGCACTATATAATGAATGCTCAGTTGAACTGAAGTGGTATGATGCTGCCTGTCACAAAAAAAGTGTATTTGTGATCATGTATAATCCCCTATGAGAAATACATGCTTAACTAAATTCAGTTCAGCTGAATTCAGTTTCCTTATACATAATGCCAGATCATAGCACATGTCATCTCAGGGCATTTTATATAGTAAGGTCTGAAAGTAGCATAAAGATAAGTCGAATGATTCCTCCTTGAGCAGCACTTGGTGACAGCGGAGAGGAAAAACTCCCTTTTAACAGAAAGAAACCTCTGAATAATAAGGCTCAGGGTGGTGACATCTGTCTCGACCGGTTGGGATATGAGGAGAGCAGAGAGAGGAAAGAGGAGCAGTGAGAAATAAAAAACAAACACTGAGGCTAATGGGGCCGATTAGTACAGGTAAGGAACATGCAGGTCTGGAGCCAGAGGTACCTGCAGAAAGGTACAAGGAGAGAGCAGAGAAGACACAAACTACAGAAGACCCAGAGTTAATGACATGTAACAGTAGCATATGCATGTAGAGAGACAGAGAGGAGGTACTCAGAGCGTCCTGAGAGGTCTCCTAGCATCACTGACCTATAGCAGCATCAAAAAGGGACGGTTCAAGGTCAGCTAAGCCTAATCTTAAAAGTCAAGCTGGTGTCTGCATTTTTTTTATCTTCTTTTTTGCTGCATAAATGTGAACCTGCAGGTACATATTACTGTAAGACATGTAATTACTTTCTCATGCTGTTTCTACTAAATGCAGGATGATCAGAATGTTTAAGAGTCTCCCAGCATCTGAGGAACTAAAGACCCAGTGGACTACTTTTATTTTCAATGGTACCTGCCCCCCAATAATAGGAAAAACATTCATGTTAATATGTTGTGCAACTAATATGGCTAACGTCATGCCCACAGGCCACAGCTCTGTGGAAGCTGTCACACTGAACAAAATTCAAACATGGAGACAACTTTAAGGCTGATTTGAAACCAGTAAACAAGGACTGTGT